GAAAAATTGCGAATTGCTAATTATCCTATAGATCTTCCTTTATATGTGTTGACGAAAATAATCAATAAACAATCTGCAGTAGGAATAGAAAAGAGTTTTCTATTTGAGCCAGACTGAGGACCTACAGCCCAGAAGACAGCCTCTCAGATGACTCTGAGGAACTGCTCCGAAGAAACATGATTTTCAGCACAGTTTTCTATCTTGTCAAAACAAAGAACATCAAACAAGTCAGGAATACATTCCTTCAGGGTTTCAAAAAAACAACCCCACAGATTAGCACATACACAGCAAGTCAGTATGGCCTTGGCACCTATCATCAAAAGATGACTAGCACTGGTATCCCAGGAAGGGAGGCATTCAATCTTTATTTTTAACATGGACATTCTTTACTTCTGGTCAATGTGCCCTTTTCTTTAATAATTAAAGTAGATGTACAACATGTGTTTTGTAGGCCACAAACAGGCTATTTTAGTTAGCGTAAAATTTGAGTTAAATGATGTATAAGTCAGCATGACTTCCCCATACATCAATATATGAAAATTTCTTTCATCATAAGTAATATTTTTGTAGGGAGTTTCCTTGAATACCCCAGGTGTTATTAAAATACCCCATATATGCGATCCCAGAGTATATTTTATTTCTAGCGCTCATCTGGACACCATTGTCTGGCACATAGAAGATTCTTAATAAGTTTTTATTACTTTGTTAAATACATGATGCTTCCTGCTTATAATTAAAGGCTATATTAACACGTATGTGTATAAATGTATTACTTGGATACTTTTATAACTCTGATTACCTTTATTATTTTCTAGTTTTATGAATACTTTCATCAGAATGATTGCCAAGCTTCATTTTGTACAAATAAAACAAAAGTATATAATTATTAGAGTAATCAATTTGCTGTAAGATTTTGTGTACAATAAGTAGATAGTTGTTTTGTATATGCATTTGATCTTTTCTCATTTAATGTAGACAGTAAACCACTAAAGGGATAATCGTCTTGTACTTTAGTAGTTTGCAACAGGATTAAATTAGCAAACACAAGCTGTATTTTGGCTTGATATAGAAAAAAAATTGTAACTTCGTATAGAAAACATTAATATTAATCTTAAGTGCCAATAGATGCCCTCTTCCCAAAGATAGTACTTATATAAACTTGCCATAGAGTTCATTATATTTGACTCAACTTTTAAGGCAGAGCGAAAAATACATAGCATATACCATAATTATTATTTTTTTTAATTAAGAAGGTAAATGAGATTCTAGCTTTAGAGATCTGTACTTTTGGAAGACTAATCTTTTATGGCTGGATCTCTGCAAGTCCACAGTGTCTCCAAGAACAATTTAAAACCCTTGCACATACCTGTAAACTGTTTGATAGAGCTCCCAGGAGTCAGCTTCCAAGAAACAGAGAGTGTTTTTGTACTAACTCGAAGACATTTTCAATAGGGAGGATAGAATATTGTCTATTTTACATTTTGAGATCTCCTGATCCTAATTCTGTGCCCTAAGAAGAGACAATAACAGAAGTTGGGAAGCTTTTTTCATGATAGAAACATAGGGAAGGAAATGCACTTTTTGGTGTCCAGGAGGCAAATGTTGAGGATAGAAAACTGAGTTACGTATTTGTGTATTTTTCCTGAAGCTTTGGGTGCATAATGGGGAGAATCCTACCACCAAGCAGCTCCTCCAGCTGGGACAGTAAATCATGAGGGTGCTGTCAGGACAGGCAAAGTCTACAAAACACAGTACATCACAGTGCAGCTGAGAAAATAGTTCAGTGAGAACAGCCCCTGGAGACTTTTCAGACCAAAATGCAGAAGAAAGGGGCGTGGAAAAGCAGCTTTAGCAGATGGGGCCAAAGTTGTTTTATTAAGGTAAATATGGAATTGGTGGTACCCATAAGGAGATGAAGCCTAGACCAACTCACTCTATGAAAATGACTTGGTTGTCTCAAATTTTAACATATTTTATTCCAAATTAATGTCATGGAGTTGGAGTTAAGTGCTTATTCTTGCAATGAGAAGGAAAACTTAAGGGCTGCAAAAGAATTCTTAGTTTAGATTTTTAAATGATAAAGCAACTTACAAACTATATATTTGATTAAATGAGCCAACAAGAAATATCAGTCTTTTGGATAGTAAATAGTAATTTAGCTATTATAATGAGGGAAACACAAACAGAGACACACACATACAGACACACAAAATCCATCAGGATCTCTGGGATGTCTGGTTTTCTGTAGCAGTGGCACACTGCAAGTGAAAATGAAATGCAGAGTAAGAAAATAGGGCATTCAGAATCATTGCACTTACAGAATCTTGCTGTGAAAGACATGCATTATATAACATCAGTAAAGAACAATTTAAATACCTAGAAAATGTTTTATATTGCTATCAAAGGCATTTCTCTAGAAAGATTTTTCCCAGATTCTCATTTATGTATTTGTTCTCATTTTTTTCTCAGTTTTACTCATTTGTAACTTGCCAAGAATTTTGATGTTTGACACATATTTTTCATTTCATTTATTCAGATTTTGCTTTTCCATGGTGAATATTTCTTTTCTTTTCTTTTTTTTTTTTGGTTTTGATCACATAATACCCTTACTCTCTCTTTCACATACTTCAAAATAGTTAAGTGAGGAAAATGATTTTCTTACTGGCTCAGGTGATACTGTGGCATCAGTAATATTGAATCATTGTAAAAATAGTAGCTAGCTATTGATACTGTAATGCTATTCGAATACATAATCTCGGTTAATCCTCACAGTAACTCTTCAATGTGAGTGACAATATCTTTAATTTAGAGCCCACAAAACTGGTACCCGCAGAGGTTCAGTGACCTGGCCGGATGACACGGCGAGAAACTGGATTCCAACTGTGATTTCCACATTCTCTTCACCTGCAGTACTTTCTCACCTTGCTGATAATCACATTAGAACCACTAAACTACTAATTGCCTTTGTAAGTTGTCTATTGATGGCTTGCAACTGTATGCTATAATTCTGTAAGAAGCAGTTATAATTCAATACCTACAATATCATCTCTTCTTCATTGGCTGAGTGCTATTGCATACTATATTGCTGACTCAACATTACTGTTCATTCTTTGTAGAATCATTTATAAAGAAGTTAAAGCAACAGTATAAAATGTCATTCTTAAAAGTTCTGAGGGAGAAAAGGAAAATTAAAGGCCAATACTTGATAGTTTGATATTTCTGATTGCTAATCAAAACCATTTCATCATTTTACGTAATGTTGGTGATTGCATGAGTTGGGAACATTTTCTATTCGGTTTATTCACCCACATGAATCAGAACATTGTGGATCACAATAGCGGAGAAAACGGTTAACTTTGAACAGCGTTCTGCTCTGTGTGGAGTTTACTCTTTGCCAAAGGCAACTTTTGACCTTTTCTTTGAAGTCATCTTGCTGCTGAGTTTCTTAACATTCAGTGGGCAACGGGCTCTAAGTTAAATTAGTGAAAATCTCTACACACCACACTTAATACATTTAATCAATAAGAATATTTGTAAGAGGACATGTCCACAATTAGAAGCTTCAAGCAGAACCGGAAAGACCTTTCACTGAGAGCCTCAGCTTGAGTAAGTCATAGGCATTTGCAATCTACTACGAGAGGAATTCCAGAAGTACCGTTCTGGGTTGGTACCCTTAGTACCTGGATACAAAATTATGGGGCATCTAAACTGAATCAAAGGTGGTTTTTGTTTTCTGATTAACAAAACCATAATCCCCGTCTTAGAATTATTTCACTGACCAAACACTTTTTTTTTTTTTTTTTGAAGTATAGCTGATTTACAATGTTGTGCCAGTCGCTGGTGTACAGCAAAGTTTTACACATATATATATACATTTGTTTTTTAATATTTAATATTTTCCATTATGGTTTACCCCAGGAGATTGGATATATTTCCCTGATCCAACAAGCAGGATCTTGTTGTTTATCCATTCTAAACGTATTGATAATAGCTTGTATCTACCAACCCCAAATTCCTAATGCATCCCTCTCCCTCCCCCCTCCCCCTTGGCAACCACAAGTCTGATCTCTATGTCTGTAAGTCTGTTTCTGTGTTGTAGATAGGTTCATTTGTGCCTTATTTTATTTTTCTAAATTAATTAATTAATTTATTATTTTTGGCTGCACTGGGTCTTCGTTGCTGCACACGGGCTTTCTCCAGTTGCGGCGAGCAGGGGCTACTCTTCGTTGCGGTGCATGGGCTTCTCATTGCGGTGGCTTCTCCTGTTGTGGAACATGGGCTCTAGGCGCGTGGGCTTCAGTAGTTGTGGCACGTGGGCTCAGTAGTTGTGGCTGGAGGCTCTAGAGCACAGGCTCAGTCGTTGTGGCGCACGGGCTTAGTTGCTCCATGGCATGTGGGATCTTCCCAGACCAGGGCTCGAACCTGTGTCCTCTGCTTTGGCAGGCGGATTCTTAAACACTGCGCCACCAGGGAAGTCCTTTACTTTATTTTAAATTTAATTTTATTTATTTTAGCCACACCGCACATCATGTGGGATCTTAGTTCCCCAACCAGAGATTGAACTCATGCCCCCTTGCAGTGGAAGCATGGAGTCCTAACAACTGAACCACCAGGGAAGTCCCGTGTGTCATATTTTAGATTCCACATGTAGGTGATATCGTATGGTATTTGTCTTTCTCTTTCTGACTTACTTCACTTAGTGTGATCATTTCTAGTTGCATCCATGCTGCTGCAAATGACATTATTTTGTTCTTTTTTCATGACTGAGTAGTATTCCATTGTGTGGAATCTTCTTTATCCTTTCCTCTGTCAGTGGACATTTAGGCTGTTTCCATGTCTTGGCTATTGTGAATAGTGCCGCTATGAACATAGGGGTGCATGTATCTTTTTGAATTATAGTTTTGTTCAGGTATATGCCCAGGATTGGGGTTGCTGGATCATATGGTAATTCTATTTTGAGTTTTCTGAGGTACCTCCATACTGTTCTCCATAGTGGTTGCACCAACTTACATTCCCACCAACAGTGCAAAAGGGTTCCCTTTCCTCCACACCCTCTCCAGCATTTGTTATTTGTAGACTTTTTAACGATGGACATTCTGGCTGGCGTGAGGTGGTACTGAGCAAACACTTCTTGATCACCTGCTAAATGCCTGCACTTTGCGCCAGGTGTACTTTGTAGAAATGGATCGTAGCATAGAGTAACTGCAAAGCATGACAGCTGTAGGTGTGGAGGGTTAAAGATGGCCACAAATACATTGACATTCTTCCCATCGAGGAGAGGGTTTTATCCACTCCCCTTGAATTGGGTGTGGGACCAATAAAGTTGTTACCGAGTCCAAGCTCTCCCTGCTCGCACTGCAGGCCAATAAGTTGGGAGATGAGGTGTTGAGTCAAGGAAGAGCGACTTTATTGGGAAAGCCAGCAGACCGAGAAGATGGCAGACTCGCGTCTCAGAAGAACCATCTTCTTTGGGTCTGGGATGCCACTTCCTTTTACAGAACAGAGAGGGGGAGATGAGGAAGTTAAAGTAAAAAGGCCATAAGTCTTGCACATATCCCCTGGAATGGCCAGCCTCAGGGAGGGGATGTCTTAATTTCTTCTTTCTTGCAGCCATTCACAGGTGGGCAGGGTCAGGATGTTTCCCTGAACAAGGGCACGTTGGTTTAACATTCAGGCAGAGGGGCAGGGTTCCCCGAGGCAGGCCGTTATGTAGAGACAGTATCCTTTTAGTGAATAAAAGCAGTGGGAAGCAAAGATTAAAGTAAAAGAAACAGATCCAACAGGTAGGTTTTGTTCTTCCCTGTAACAAAATGGTTTTAACCAATAAAATGTAGTGGAAATGGAGGTGTGCCATTTCCAGGTCTAGCTTTGAAGATGACGCTGAATCTGGCCTCTGTGCCCTGATACCCAATTAAATCTCAGAGACAGAGTAGAAAAGAATAGCTTTATTTCTTTGCCAGGCAAAGGGGGCCACAGGGATCTAATGCCCTCAAAAGGTAGTGAGGAGTTTTATAGTAATCATTCGAAGAGGGTGTGATCAGCTCGAGGACATCCTTCTGATTGGTTGGTGGGAAGGTAAGTGGGAGTCGGCAGGCATCATCAACCTTCTGGTTCCAACTGGTCTGGGGTCTACTTGCTTGTGGGCAGCATGCAGTTAACTTCTCCCACCTGGTAGGGGTTTCAGTATCTGCAAAACAACTCAAAGATATTGTTGTGTGTATCCCTTGAGGGGGAACAAGGACCCCGCCCCAAGGCCGCACTATTTTTTCTCCAGACTGTTCCTCCCTTGTCTCCCATCCCCTCCCTTCCCTAATTAGCAATTGCTGGAATCTGCCCCTTGTAACTCTGCGAAGGTCGTGGAGGCTGAACGAAGCCTATTTCCTGTAATCGAGAAACAGGGCGGGGCTTCCCTGGTGACGCAGTGGTTGAGAGTCTGCCTGCCGACGCCGGGGACGCGGGTTTGTGCCCCGGTCTGGGAAGATCCCACATGCCGCGGAGCGGCTGGGCCCGTGAGCCATGGCCGCTGAGCCTGTGCGTCCGGAGCCTGTGCTCCGCAACGGGAGAGGGCACAACAGTGAGAGGCCCGCGTACAGCAAAACAAAAAAGAAACAGAGGACACAGAATGGCTTTCGTGCCCAGGAGCCCCACAGGTCCTGCTTGGTTTCAAAGACGGGCAGTTGATGCATTCTGTCTCTTGGAGCCCTGTGCTCCAGGTAAGAAGTTTACCTGTCTTGAAGCTCTCATGTTGTAAAGAAGCCAAGGCTGGACTTTTGGAAAAGCCACTTGGAAAGGCCATGTGGAGAGAGCGAGAGGTACCCGGCCATCTCCCAGCTGCTCTAACCCCCAGCCGTTCAACTCACGCCAGTTGATACCCTGGAAATTTTAGGCAAAGGTAAGTTTTCTCCAGTGTGTCCTGCCCAAATTCGTGATTCCCAAATAATGAAATATAATAATAATCAAATTTTCCTCAAGCCACTAAATATTTTGAGTAGTTTGCTTTTCAGCAATGGACAACTGAAGTTATGATTTTTGGAGACTCTGCAAATTAATATATGATGTTGGGAAATCTGCTTAAACTATTTAAACCTTCTGCTGTAATAAAGAAAATGGTAGTATCTATCATATCATTATTATTAATGAGACAGTGGTCCTAATGTCGGTAAAGTGTATTTGGCAAATAAAATAATTAGCCTTCGACTCCGTAACTTGTGTTTGCAGCCCAGGCTTCTCTTATGAGGCCCTGATGATAACATATATTCAATTTCTTACTAAGCGTCTCCTCTTACGTTTTTTGTAGCACTTCAAACTCGTATATTCAATTGTTTCCCATTCCCCCTCCAACCTGCTTCCCTTCCTCTGTTCCCTACCTTGGTAGATGGTATTTCATCTACTTATTTCTACAAGCAAAAACCTTGGAGTCATCTTTTTGCTTCCCTTTTCATTATCTAAAAAAATCCTGCTTCTGGTGCCCCCACCATTCTTAATTCATCCTCACCTCTCTGTTATTCCAGTAAGCCCCCAACTCCCTTCCTGCATTCTTTGTTCACTGCATCAACATTTGTCCTATGCCAGACTTTCATTCTGCTACATCAGAGTCATCTTTTTAAAATAAAAAATTGGTAATTACTACCATGCGTAAAACTTTTCAGTGAAATCAATAGGAAAAAGTTCAGAACCGTCAGCATGGTTTACAGGACTCTCCAATATCTGGCCTCTGCCACCTTTCCAGACAGATCATTATCCTTCAGCCACATGAGGCTTTGACCTGTCTTTAAAACACTCTGCATCCTTTCACGTGACAGGGAATCACCCAGCCTGTTCCCTTCTGCACACACTCTGAGTTAGCTAGCAGTTATTCAGGCTTTTGTAGAAACATCTCTTTCCCAAGAGAATGCTCTCTGACACACTCAGGTTAAATGAAAATCTCTTAGAGTTGATCTCTTTAAACATTATCTTTTTCATGAAACCCATACGATTATAATGGATTCCTTTTTCATGGCATTATTATTATTGCCATTTGTATTATTGGAGGCTGTGGCGTGGAGAGGGTCAGAAGCAGAAACCAGTAACGAAAGGAGAGAAAAACTGCTAAGATACGACACAAACTCGCAGTATTGGTAAAGGCCAGACTTGATTAGAGGACTTTATTGAAAGATTCTATTTCCCAGCAGTGTGTGCTATATGTATATGTCCATATGTGTGTGTGTATATATATGTGTGTATGTGTATACTCTTTTGTGTTATGCCCACCAAAATCCAATTTTGTTTGGGGGGGTGGTGTTAGGATTTTCAACCCTACCACCAAACAATTCTCCAGACACCATCCGGGCCCAAATTTTTACTTGTATTTCTGACCAACTGGCTACAAATCAGAAGTTCCCAAGACCTCTTCCTTGGGTTCAATTAATTTGCTAGAGCAACTCACAGAACTCACGAAACCAGTTTAATTACTAGATTACTGGTTTATTATAAAAAGATATAACTCAGGTACAGCCAGATAGAAAAGATGCACAGGGCAAGGTATGGGGAAAGTACTCAGAGCTTCCATGCCTCTTACTGTGCGATACTCTCCCCAAATCTCCACGTGTTCACCAACTCAACTCGGAAGCTCTCTGAACCCCATCCTTTGGGTTGTTTATGGAGACTTCGTTACATAGGCGTGGTTGATTGAATCATTGTCCATTGGTGACTGATTCAACTTTCAGCTCCTACTCCCTCCTGGAGGTGAGGGGGTGGGAATGAAATTCTACCCCTTCAAAGAGATCGTTGGTTGTCCTGGCAACCGGCCCCCATCCTTAGGTTTGGGCAAAGTCACCTCATTAACATAACAAAAGACACCTTTGTTGCTCTAATTACTTGTTAAATTCCAAGTTTTAGGAGTTCTGTGCTAGAAATGGGGATGAAAGCCAAAGTATATATATTTCTTATTATAAGTTGCAATATCAAATATATGTATAGTTTCTTTTGAAGGTTTTATTTATGGGATTAGAAGCTAATGAGCTACAATAATATTTGCATATACCTAAATATTCCATGCAATGTTCTGGGCATAGGGTTTTAAGTGTTATACCATGAGACAAAATGTCCTCTGTGGTGCTCCAAGTATAATGGTGCTTCAAGGACAAAGGACGACCCTGCCTGAAAAAGTGTCAGCATTACACCCCCTACTGGACTCTTAATCGCCCGCCCACCATGTTGCAATGTTAACAAAATTCCTGAGTCCCCCTGTGCCACGCCCACCTGGGCAATGGGACCTGTCCCAAATAAGGAAAGGCATCTGACCTGTCCCTCTCCCACCCTCTAGAAGGAGGGTGTATGCGCCTCGACCAATCAGTAAATGAAATTTTCACCTCAGGCCATTCATTTGTTTTCTGGCTATACAAACTGATCAATAGCTCATGTTTGGGCTTGACTCTCCCAGAATACTAGGAAGTCGGCCTGCTGTTCTTGCAGCAACCCATTCCCTCTAATACATTCTGTCTTCTTTACATTCTGCCATGTGTGTGGAAGTTCTTTTTCAACCCGCATTCGGACCACAACATCCTCTACTTGCTCTTTGTGTGAGGGCGTCTCACAAATCACTAGTGAAGACAAGTTTTAAATGCAAAGATGTCTTCACCTTTGATTGCAAGGAGGTTTTCATTTTATGTTGTGTTGTTTTAATTTTTGTTGTAAAGGTTTAATTGTATAACATGCATCTAAAATAAAGTGTAACTAGTTTTTATAGATATGGAGGCAAGTTTTAAAGAGATGGGTTAATCTAATTTAAAACAATAAGATGCTCAGTATTAGGAAAGAGCATAAGTGGGGTAAAGGGTGAAGGTGCACGTCAAAAGTTTCCATTTAGCCCAAGGATTTAATCGAAACACTGGGTATCTTCATGCATAAAATTAAGAGGTAAGATAGATTAATTCTAAGTCTTTTCCAACTCTAACATTCTACAATATTATAATCACATTATTGTCGAATTCCTTCTGGCCGTTTCCTATTAATGTGAAGCCATGTATAAAAATAGTTATATAATAAAGATGAGTATCTGTTGCTCATTAAAATAACGTGTGTCTACTTAAAGTCTAACTGAAGTATTTGTACCATCACTTACTTTTATTTTTGGTGTTAACAGTTCAAGCACATAGTGAAAGTCATTAAGACAATGGAAGTCCAGCTTACCCTGAAAATGTAGATTTTATCCTTAAATGTATGACTTTGACATAAGGCATACTCAACAGACTTGAAAACCTTAAGTAGAAAGTTAAAAGAACACCAAGTCATTTATTTTGAAATTGCTTTTGAAAAACTCATATCTTTTGCTTTGCATCATTAAATTAATTACTCATTAAAACCCAAAGTTTTATCAATATTATATGGTCCTAATACTCCAACAAATTTTCTTCTAATTTTATGCTTGTAAATGCTGAGAAGTATTAAAATTGCATAATAATACTGGGAAATGGATGAGATTAATTTTGGCTTTTTTAAAGGTAACTGATTCTTTAGGCCCTTTAGAGTTATTAATCCTTTGTAATAGAGTTTAAACAATTCCAGACTCAGATACTTGCCTTTGAAATGTGGGTAAATTCAAATAATGAGCCACGTATAACAAACTTTGTTTGCCTGACTTTGAAAGTTTTACTTGAGCTAAGGAATTAGATAAGTTTCTTTCATATAAAGTGCCAAGATCTATAAAATTATTTCTTCCGCATAATATCACCCAACAGTTACACATCAACGTTTATTGCTTAAAAAAGTTTATAATTCCCTTTGTGGAACAGAGCTACCTTTTAAACTCTCCTATATATTAACAGCTGTCTCTAAAATGTGAATATTTTATCCCTACCCAATTTTTTTTCATTGTTTATGGTACATACTGATCAAACGACATTTGACCTTCACTTAATATGTTGTTTTCAACGGCCTAGAAATACTTTCAGTGTTTGATTAGAAAGTATTTGACCAGCTGGTAGGAATCCTGAGACTCTGAGGAGAAAACGTTTCAATGAGGAGAGAGTTGGTCAATGTTTGTATTCCACAGAACTTTCTGCAAATCATATATCGTTGTGGCTCTAGTGGGGCGTCCTTATCCTGTGTAAGAAGAATGACTTTTCATTTTAATTATGAAATGTGCTTTCAGTTTAAGGCACACTTTTGAATTTGAGAAGGTATTCTCTGATCTATGAGACACATGTCCAGATCGTTCAGAATTGTTATGAAGAATGAGTCCTGGGTTTTGTGAGATGATCTGCTGTCATTGTGGGGATTCAGCCCAGCAGGTGTCAGGGGGCAGTGGTTTGGAACAAGGGTTGAATCTGGAGTTACTGCACTTGGTTTTCATCTCCGTGTTTACTTAGTATGGCAATGGAAAACCGGTACTTTTAAATACTTATGGACATTAAAAAATGTTTAAGGGGGCTTTCCTGGTGGCGCAGTGGTTGAGAGTCTGCCTGCCGATGCAGGGGACACGGGTTCGTGCCCCGGTCCGGGAAGATCCCACATGCCGTGGAGCGGCTGGGCCCGTGAGCCATGGCCGCTGAGCCTGGGCGTCCGGAGCCTGTGCTCCGCAACGGGAGAGGCCACAGCAGTGAGAGGTCCGCGTACTGCAAAAAAAAAAAAAAAGTTTAAGGGAGGAATGCTTTGTGGAACACAGGACCCAGGCATGACATCTGCTCAGTAGATCACAATTGTGATATTGGCCTATAATTGAAGATATAGGACAATTGAAGATATTGGCCTATAACTTTCTTTTTTTTGTAGTATCTTTGCCTGGTTTTGGTATCAGGGTGATGGCGGCCTCATAGAATGAGTTTGGGAGTGTTCTTCCCTCTGCAATTATTTGGAAGGGTTGGAGAAGGATAGGTGTTAGTGCTCTAAATGTTTGATAGAATTCACCTGTGAAGCCATCCCGTCCTGGACTTTTGTTTGTTGGAAGATTTTAAAGCACAGTTTCAACTTCATTACTTGTGATTGGTCTGTTCATATTTTCTATTTCTTCCTGGTTCAGTCTTGGAAGGTTGTACTTTTCTAAGAATTTGTCCATTTCTTCCAGGTTGTCCATTTTATTGGCATATTAGTTGCTTGTAATAGTCTCTTATGATCCTTTGTATTTCTGTGGTCAGTTGTAACTTCTTTTTCATTTCTAATTTTATTGATTTGAGTCCTCACCCTTTTTTTTCTTGATGAGTCTGGCTAAAGGTTTATCAATTTTGTTTATCTTCTCAGGAAACCAGCTTTTAGTTTAAAAAAAAGAAACAATTGAAGAAAGGGTTTCAGAGGAAAGTGTACCTACAGTTATTCACAATGAAGTTAGACAGAGATACTTTCTAGATTTGTAGTTCATCTTTTTAATTCTTTAAAACAAAAAGAATGTCACATTGGTTGGTTTACCCTCATTCTCTATTTTGTGTTATAAACTTGTTTTGCCAATCTTGCCATTTTTCTGAGTTACGTCTCCTGGGGTCAGTAGAGGATGAGATGCTATGTTATTAGACATTCCTGGAGAAAATGCCTATTTAGTTCTTGCAACATAAAGGAGAAAAATGTTGGTTATGGAGACAGTGACCCTAACTAACTCAGAATGAAACCTGTTTTCCTTCAAACCGTCTTCTTCTTCTTTAATTGATGGACCCCGGAGCTGCCACCCTGCCTGGCCACGCTCCCTGTCGTTCTGTATCGATCCTCTGGGAAAGATGTATTCAGGCAACTGCTCTTGAATCTAATTTTCCCATTCAGCTTTCCTTTCTATTAGTTTAAACAGACAACATCATCTCTTTCTCACTCAAGAACTATGCCAGGGAAGTACACAGACAAATCCTGGAGCCCAGGGCATTCATTAAACCAGAAGCACCGTAAACATTTATTATATCAGAAATAGCAGACAGCATGCCCCTGACCAAACAACGGATGTGTCAAAATGATGCATTGGTTGAATTTTGCCTCACTTCTCTTCCTTTTGTACCTGAGAAAAAAATAAAAAGCAAGGGAGTGATTAGAAAAAGTGAAATAAAATAGAATTGGAGCCCGAGTTTCAGGGTAAATGATACCAAAACTCTCTGCAGATCTAATAAAAGTAAATTGTTAAAGGTCATTACTTTTCATGTTTATTGATTTTTAGCAGCCAACATCATTATTAGCTGGCAGAGAAGCAAATTTATCATGAAGTTCCCAAATATGAAGGTAACAGAAGGGCAAAGTTAAGGTAATTTTTTGAGAAAATATTACACTCATTAACAAACATCAAAGATCAAGGGATCCACAGTCAACTTAGAAAACCGTCTTCTACAGTTAATAAAGATATAGAGTGTGTAAAGACGGGTGAAATATTTATTCTTCTAAATTATATTACATATGTATTCTATTACGATAACATTTTAAAGTGAGGCAAAGATGAGCAAAACATTTTTCCACCTGAGTTTCTGTTTTCCGAAATTTTTCTTCAGGTCTCTGAAGCGTCTGACAACACAGCAGAAGGGTTACTAATTAAATCATAAGACTCCTTATATCAGCTCCACAAAGGCAGGGACCTTGTTCATCTTTCTCTTATTTCCACATTGCCTGGCACACAAAAGAAACTCAATAAATAGTGTTGAGTGGATAAAGGACCGGCAAGCATGCATGTAGTTTTGGAGAGACTGCATCATCAACTGGCCATTACACTTGGGCCCGTTGACCACTGCCTTAGAATAACATCTTGCTGCCATAACATCCCATCAGGATGCTGACACTACAGTGCAAAAGAAACACAAAGGAAGAGATCAGCCTCCACGAGGCTTTTAAAAGGGATTTGTAGGAACAAGATAGCCAAAGGACACAACTTAAACTTGCCGATATGTCCAGAACTCTTTCCGGTTGAGTTGTTTACTCTATTCCTGCATCTCTGAAGCAAAATCCATAAGCATAGCTTTCAGGTAGGATGCCCAAAACTTGGCCTCTGGGCAGTGGTGCTAAATTGAATCTCAGAGTTTGGGGTGAAGTAGAAAAGAAGAGCTTTATTGCTTTTTCAGGCACAGGGGGACACAGTGGGCTCATGCCCTGAAAACTGTGTGTCCCAATCTGGAGGGATTTGGTGAGAAGTTTTTTAGCAATGATTCAAGGGCGGGGTTGCTGATAAGGATCAGGGTGTGTGCATCCCTTTAATCTGGCCTCACATGTCAAACAGTTAACATCTTCCATTTGGTGGGAGTTTCAGTTCTGCAGAAGAGCTCAAAGATATTGTTGCGTGTATCCCTTGAGGAGGAACCAGGACCTGCCCCAAGCCTGCACTATTGTTTCTTGGCTGTTCCTCCCTTGTCTCTGCATCCCCTCCTTTCCCTGATTAGCAACTGTTTGAACCTGCCCTTTGGAACTCAGGGAAGGCCATGGAGACTGAAGCCTATTCCCTACAAACAGGAAACATGGGACACAGAAAGGCTTCCATGCCCAGGAGCCCCACAGTGTCCCACTCAGTTTCAGGTACAAGAGCCATCTGCTAATCTAAGTCCTTTTCGCTCGGTCACCCTAGGGGACAGTCATCATGAGTCAGTGATTCCTTCAAATGCTCTAAGTAAAAGGACACCATCAAGAGGACCTCTTCCCATAAGCTTGGAATCCGTGTATGACGTGTATCAGGTTCTGTGGTAGTTAATTAAATATTTTTTCATGAACTAAAATCCTTCCTAAGGGCAACTACTTAGAATGTGTACATTCTGAAATAATAACCGATCTGTTTCAAAATTTGCCACTTAAAACTTTTTTTTTTGGTCACAATTCCAGAAGGCATTTTTGCAGGTCCATGCAAAGCGCTCGCGGCTTGCAGAGCGAAAGCTCCAATTTGCATTCTCCAAAAAAGGACAGCTCGACCAGATTTAATGTATTTTGGCTGGCAATTTGTATGCTTAGTCTCTGCCCAACATACTTTACTTTGAAAGAGCCAAGCTATAAAGCCTAGAATTATCGTTTATATTAGGAAGCCTCATAGAGTTGTTTCCACTGATACGGTCCCCGCTTTGGCAGTAGCATAATTTGTATCTTAAAGAGATGGGAGTGTTCCTTGAGGACAAAAAAAGAATAATGGGCTTTGCAGTGGTTATTTTGGAGAGCCCATCTTTTCCCCCTTTCTGTGAATGCTGGAGTACTTTTAGGTGATTTCGCCGTATATGCATAGTCATAAATTATATATTTCTTTGTGGGCCAAATTTGATTTTAAAATCCTGGGGCTTTGTAAAACCAGATTTTATTTTTCTTAACAAAGAGTTCATAAGAAGTCCACTTCAGTTAACTTTTTCCTCTTTGTTGGATTCTTTCTCTGCATACACTTGAGGAAAGAGGCTAAGCAGAAGAGAGGTTTTGCCCATTTCTTATCTTCATTAAATCCCTGCCCTCGTTCTATTAGATTATCCTTGGTCCCTGATACAAAAGGCAATTGTCAGTTCTTTTCAAGTTTTTCTTAATTTGTCTCTCTTAGATATTTGTATTTAAATTATTAAATATAAAGCTTAATTTACCAGTAACAAACAGTAGTCATAGAATGGTACATAAAAGTAGGTACCAGTTATGTAACTCCTGGGTAGAAAGATTGGATTTTATTTTTCTCAGGTTCTCAAGACCACGTTTCCTTTCAACAGTGGAAAATGTAATCTTTTAAATCAAGATAACAGGTATTTTCAATTAAAAATGCATGCTCTATTGGGCGAATTCTCAATCAGCTGTAGATTTCTCCCCATCCTTACTTACCTTTATACTTCTGATGGATGGCTGACATTTAGTGTTGTTATCTTAGGTTTTGTTTCCTGAGAATCAGTCCCTGAAGGGATGATCCAAGCACAAATAGCTTATCTGGAAAAGGAACCCAGGAAATGGCAGGAGAGCCATGAGGAAGTGAGACAGGGAAGGAGAGATCACCAGTAAAAAAGTGTGGTTATCAGACAGGTCACTAACATGTGCCATGAATTTATTCCTGCCTGGGAACCCTGGGGATTTGTTTTTGTTTTTAGTGGTTTTCTAAAATTGAAGTATAGTTGATTTAAAATGTTATGTTAGTTTCTAGTATACAGCAAAGTAATTCAGATATATATATATATATATGTATACATATATGTACATATATAATTTTTCATTATGGTTTATTACAGGATATTGAATACAGTTCCCTGTGCTCTACAATAGGACCTTGTTGTTTATCCATCCTATATACACTAGTTTGCATCTGCTAACTCCAAACTCCCAGTCCTTCCCTCCCCTTACACCCCTCCCCCTTGGCAACCACAAGTCTGTTCCCTATGTCTGTGAGTTTGTTTTTGTCTCGTTGATAAGTTCATTTGTGTCATATTTTAGATTCCACATATAGGTGATATCATATGGTGTTCGTCTTTCTTTTTCTGACTTACTGCACTTAGTATGATAAACTCTAGGTCCATCCACATTGCTGCAACGACATTATTTCATTCTTTTTATGGCTGAGTCGTATTCCATTGTATATATGTACCACATCTTCTTTATCCATTCATCTGTCGGTGGACATGGAGGTTCCTTCCATGTCTTGGCTATTGTGAATAGCGCCAACTTACATTCCTGCCAACAGTATGTAGGAGGGGGGATTTGTAACTGCACCTGAAATGTTTTCTCCTGGTTGTAAGGGAGGGAGGATTTACAGTGCATCAACCGTCATCTACTTTGGGTTGAGACTACCAGGCAAAGGCAATTCTCTGACACCTAAGGAGCTGGTGGAGCAGAGAAAGGCCTCAGGCAGAGGCTGAAGATGGAAGCCAGCCTCTCAACCTCTGTGGGACTCTGAGAGGTACAGGCACACACTGCCAGCATCTCCCCTATCAAACTTACAGCCTAGGTTACTATGGTGACCAGACTCTTCTGTAGGCATCTGAGATGTAAATTGCCCTCTTTGTATATCACTAATAACTCACTTTTACTTTACAAAGACATCCATCTATGACAGCTTGGACTTAGAAAAACAAAAAACCCCCTGAGATATCACATATTGTTTGAGAAGCACTGCTTTAATGGCCCCTGACCCTGACCTCGGGTCCCAGTCATGGAGATTGAGCATTGAAGATTTTGGGTTGTTCAGTTTGGTTACAGCTCCAAAGCAGGTGGGACACAGGACACATGCCTCACTTATTTGGAAAGAGCTCAGGATGATACTGAGCTCCTTTAGAGATGGCTGTTGAGCACATCCTAAAAGACTAATGCACATCTTAACTTGCTTGATAGGAACCCAAAACTTCAGATGTGCTGTCCTCCCCACCCTACTCACCAGCCAGTGGGGAACAGAAGCTCAGAGAGAGAGCTGGCCGACCTGAGGGGCAAGTGTCAGGGCAGAAGAACTCACAGTGGATGAGCTGGTTTACCAGATGCCCCAAAAAGCACACAGAAGCAGTGATCATGGGACAAGAAAGGGTCACTGACTCCAGGCATTCTTGCTGAAAAGTCAGGTTGCCAGGGTCCCAGACTCTGCTACCATCTCTGCGGTCACTTACCCCGGGATGGGGGGAGGCAAGGGTAGCCTTTCTGCCACCGTGAATTTAGAATCTATTCCACCTGGCTTCCTGCAGCCCTGTAACTCTTCATATTTAAAGGCAAACTTTCAGTATTCAGAAAATTTTTTTTTCATAAAGTTTTCCCATGTAACTGTCTCTGCTAAAACACCCGCCTATACTTTACACACTCAATTTCATTTGTCACTCTTTTTATATTCTAGGCTATACCTACACTTCTGCTTAAAAACAATTGTCAAGCAGTTGTTACTGCCTGAATAGTCGGAGAGGGGAAGGGGAACCAGAAAGCACAATGAAAGAAGTCTTAGTACATTTTTTATGATACTCGAGACTCATGATCCTCAAAGCAAGGACACGCAAATAGGACAAAAATAAAATAAAAATAAATAAAAGCCAAGCTACTTTTGAAGATAAATGGACTCAAGTTTACCATTTTCACCACCAGCCTAAATACATTCACACCTAGAATTCGAATCTCAAAGCCAAATCTTCGTGACATGCATTCAGCAATTTCCAAATCGTTTTTTATGTGAAGAGCTTTGGGAAGACCTATTTGAGACCATATATGGTACACTTTAAAACATTAACACAAAAAGGATCTTGCTGTGATTTATGTCGTAGTGTTCTGCCTATGTTTTCCTCTAAGAGTTTGATGGTGTCTGGCCTTACATTTAGGTCTTGAATCCATTTTGAGTTTATTTTTCTGTATGGTGTTAGGGAGTGTTCTAATTTCATTCTTTTACATGTAGCTGTCCAGTTTTCCCAGCACCACTTATTGAAGAGGCTGTCATTTCTCCACTGTATATTCATGCCTCCTTTATCAAAGATAAGGTGACCATATGTGTGTGGGTTTATCTCTGGGCTTTCTATCCTGTTCCATTGATCTATCTTTCTGTTTTTGTGCCAGTACCATACTGTCTTGATTACTATAGCTTTGTAGTATAGTCTGACGTCAGGGAGCCTGATTCCTCCAGCTCAGTTTTTCTTTCTCAAGATTGCTTTGGCTATTCGGGGTCTTTTGTGTTTCCATACAAATAGTGAAATTTTTTGTCCTAGTTCTGTGAAAAATGCCAGTGGTAGTTTGATGGGGACTGCACTGAATCTGTAGATTGCTTTGGGTAGTTGAGTCATTTTCACAATGTTGATTCTTCCAATCCAAGAACATGGTATATCTCTCCATCTATTTGTATCATCTTTAATTTCTTTCATCAGTGTCTTATAATTTTCTGCATACAGGTCTTTTGTCTCCTTAGGTAGGTTTATTCCTAGATATTTTATTCTTTTTGTTGCAGTAGTAAATGGGAGTGTTTTCTTAATTTCACTTTCAGATTTCTCATCATTAGTGTATAGGAATGCAAGAGATTTCTGTGCACTAATTTTGTATCCTGCTACTTTACAAAATTCATTGATTAGCTCTAGTAGTTTTCTGGTACCATCTTTAGGATTCTCTCTCTATGGTACCATGTCATCTGCAAACAGTGACAGCTTTACTTCTTCTTTTCCAATTTGGATTCCTTTATTTCTTTTTCTTCTCTGATTGCTGTGGCTAAAACTTCCAAAGCTATGTTGAATAATAGTGGTGAGAGTGGGCAACCTTGTCTTGCTCCTGATCTTAGTGGAACTGGTTTTAGTTTTTCACCATTGAGGATGATGTTGGCTGTGGGTCTGTCATATATGGCCTTTATTATGTTGAGGTAAGTTCCCTTTATGCCTACTTTCTGGAGGGTTTTTATCATAAATGGATGTTGAATTTTGTCAAAAGCTCTTTCTGCATCTATTGAGATGATCATATGGTTTTTCTCCTTCAATTTGTTAATATGGTGTATCACGTTGATTGATTTGCGTATACTGAAGAATCCTTGCATTCCTGGGATAAACCCCACTTGATCATAGTGTATGATCCTTTTAATGTGCTGTTGGATTCTGTTTGCTAGTATTTTGTTGAGGATTTTTGCATCTATGTTCATCAGTGATATTGGCCTGTAGTTTTCTTTCTTTGTGACATCTTTGTCTGGTTTTGGTATCAGAGTGATGGGGGCCTCGTAGAATGAGTTTGGGGGTGTTCCTCCCTCTGCTATATTTTGGAAGAGTTTGAGAAGGATAGGTGTTAGCTCTTCTCCAAATGTTTGATAGAATTTGCCAGTGAAGCCATCTGGTCCTGGGCTTTTGTTTGTTGGAAGATTTTTAATCACAGTTTCAATTTCAGTGCTTGTGATTGGTCTGTTCATATTTTCTATTTCTTCCTCGTTCAGTTTTGGAAGGTTGTACTTTTCTAAGAATTTTTCCATTTCTTCCAGGTTGTCCATTTTATTGGCATACAGTTGCTTGTAGTAATCTCTCATGATCCTTTGTATTTCTGCAGTGTCAGTTGTTACTTCTCCTTTTTCATTTGTAATTCTATTGATTTGAGTCTTCTCCCTTTTTTTTCCTGATGAGTCTGGCTAATGGTTTATCAATTTTGTTTATCTTCTCAAAGAACCAGCTTTTAGTTTTATTGATCTTTGCTCTCGTTTCCTTCATTTCTTTTTCATTTATTTCTGATCTGATCTTTATGATTTCTTTCCTTCTGCTAGCTTTGGGGTTTTTTTGTTCTTCTTTCTCTAATTGCTTTAGGTGCAATGTTAGTTGTTTATTTAAGATGTTTCTTGTTTCTTAAGGTAGGCTTGTATAGCTATAAAATTACCTCTTAGAACTGCTTCTGCTGCATCCCATAGGTTTTGGGTTGTTGTGTTTTCATTGTCATTTGTTTCTAGGTATTTTTTGATTTCCTCTTTGATTCTTCAGTGATCTCTTGGTATTAAGTAGTGTGTTGTTTAGCCTCCATGTGTTTGTATTTCTTACAGATTTTTTCCTGTAATTGATATCTAGTCTCATAGCATTGTGGTCAGAAAACATACTTGATACAATTTTGATTTTCTTAAATTTACCAAGGCTTGATTTGTGACCCAAGATATGATCTATCCTGGAGAATGTTCCATGAGCACTTGAGAAGAATGTGTATTCTGTTGTTTTTGGATGGAGTGTCCTATAGATATCAATTAAGTCCCTCTTATTTAATGTATCATTTAAAGCTTGTGTTTCCTTATTTATTTTCATTTTGGATGATCTGTCCATGGTGAAAGTGGGGTGTTAAAGTCACCTACTATGATTGTGTTACTGTCGATTTCCCCTTTTATGACTGTTATGATTGATCCCTTGATCATTATGTAGTTTCCTTCTTTGTCTCTTGTAATAGTCTTTATTTTAAAGTCTATTTTGTCTGATATGAGAATTGCTACTCCAGGTTTCTTTAGATTTCCATTTGCATGGAATATCTTTTTCATTCCCTCACTTTCAGTCTGTATGTGTCCCTAGGTCTGAAGTGGGTCTCTTGTAGACAGCATAGATACAGGTCTTGTTTTTGTATCCATTCAGCCAGTCTATGTCTTTTGGTTGGAGCATTTAATCCATTTACATTTAAGGTTATTATCGATATGTATGTTTCTATCACCATTTTCTTAATTGTTTTGGGTTTATTATTGTAGGTCTTTTCCTTCTCTTGTGTTTCCTGCCTAGAGAAGTTCCTAAAGCTGGTTTGGTGGTGCTGAATTCTCTTAGCTTTTGCTTGTCTGTGAAGGTTTTAATTTCTCCATCAAATCTGAATGAGATCCTTGCTGGGTAGTAATGTTGGTTGTAGGTTTTTCTCCTTCATCACTTTAAATATGTCCTGCCATTCCCTTCTGGCTTGCAGAGTTTCTGCTGAAAGATCAGCTGTTAACCTTATGGGGATTCCCTTATGTGTTATTTGTTGTTTTTCCCATACTGCTTTTAATATTTTTTCTTTGTATTTAATTTTTGATAATTTGATTAATATGTGTCTTGGTGTGCTTCTCCTTGGATTTATCCTGTATGTGTATCTCTATGCTTCCTGGAGTTGATTGACTATTTCCTTTCCCATATTAGGGAATTTTTCAACTGTAATCTCTTCAAATATTTTCTCAGTCCCTTTCTTTTTCTCTTCTTCTCTGGGACCCCTATAATTTGAATGTTGGTGCATTTAATGTTGTCCCAGGGGTCTCTGAGACTGTCCTCAGTTGTTTTCATTCTTGTTTTATTCTGCTCTGCAGTAGTTATTTCTAGTATTTTATCTTCCAGGTCCCTTATCCGTTCTTCTGCCTCAGTTATTCTGCTATTGATCCCCTCTAGATAATTTTAAATTTCATTTATTGTGTTGTTTATCACTGTTTAGTTCTTCTAGGTCCTTGTTAAATGTTTCTTTTATTTTCTCCATTCTATTTTCAAGATTTTGGATCATCTATACTATCTTTATTCTGATTTCTTTTTCAAGTAGACTGTCTATTTCCTCTTCACTTGTTAGTTGTGGTGGGTTTTTGTCTTGCTCCTTCATCTGCTGTGTGTTTCTCTGTCTTCTCATTTTGCTTAACTTTACTGTGTTTGGGGTCTGCATTTTGCAGGCTGCAGGTTTGTAGTTTCCGTTGTTTTTGGTGTCTGTCCCCAGTGGCTAAGGTTGTTTCAATGGGTGGTGTAGGCTTCCCAGTGGAGGGGACTGGTGCCTGTGTTCTGGTGGATGAGGCTGGATCTTGTCTTTCTGGTGAGCAGGTCCACGTCTGATGGTGTGTTTTGGGGTGTCTGTGGCCTTATTAGGATTTTAGGCAGCCTCTCTGCTAATGGGTGGTGGTGTGTTCCTGTCTTGCTAGTTGTTTGGCATAGGGTGTCCTGCACTGTAGCTTGCTGGTCGGTGAGTGGAGCTGGGTCTTAGTATTGAGATGGAGATCTCTAGGAGATTTTCGCCGTTTGATATTACGTGGAGCTGGGAGGTCTCTTGTGGACCAGTGTCCTGAACTTTGCTCTCCCACCTCAGTGGCAAAGCCCTGACACCTGGCTGGAGCACCAAGAGCCTGTCCTCCACACAGCTCAGAATAAAAGGGAGAAAAGAAAGAAAGAAAGAAAAAGATAAAATAAAAAAGTTATTAAAATAAAAATTATTAAGAAAAAAAAATTTAAAAAAACACACACACAAAAAATGGACAGACATAATAACCCTAGGACAAATGGTAAAAGCAAAGCTATACAGACAAAATCACACACAGAAGCATACACATACACAGTCACAAAAAGAGAAAAAGGGGGAAAAAATATATATATCATTGCTCCCAAAGTCCACCTCCTCAATTTGGGATGATTGGTTGTCTATTCATGTATTCCACAGATGCAGGTACATCAAGTTGATCGTGGAGATTTAATCCGCTGCTCCTGAGGCTGCTGGGAGAGATTTCCCTTTCTCTTCTTTGTTCGCACAGCTCCCGGGGCTCAGCTTTGGATTTGGCCCCGCCTCTGCGTGTAGGTCGCCGGAGGGCGTCTGTTCGTTGCTCGCACAGGACAGGGTTAAAGGAGCCGCTGATTCGGGGGCTCTGGCTCACTCAGGCCCGGGGGGAGGGAGGGGCATAGAGTGTGGGGTGGGCCTGAGGCGGCAGAGGCCGGCGTGACGTTGCACCAGCCTGAGGCGCGCCGTGCGTTCTCCCGGGGAAGTTGTCCCTGGATCCCGGGACCCTGGCAGTGGCGGGCTGCACAGGCTCCCCAGAAGGGGGGTGTGGATAGTGACCTGTGCTCGCACACAGGCTTCTTGGTGGCGGCAGCAGCAGCCTTAGCGTCTCATGCCCGTCTCTGGGGTCCGTGCTGTTAGCCGCGGCTCGCGCCCGTCTCTGGAGCTCCTTGAAGCAGAGCTGTTAATCCCCTCTCCTCACGCACCAGGAAACACAGAGGGAGGAAAAAGCCTCTTGCCGCTTCCGCAGGTCCAGACTTTTCCCCGGACTCCCTCCTGGCCAGCCGTGGGGCACTAACCCCCTGCAGGCTGTGTTCACGCCGCCAACCCCAGTCCTCTCCCTGGGATCCGACTGAAGCCCGAGCCTCAACTCCCAGCCCCACCCGCCCCTGCGGGTGAGCAGACAAGCCTCTCGGCCTGGTGAGTGCCGGTCGGCCCTGATCCTCTGTGCGGGAATCTCTCCGCTTTGCCCTCCGCACCCCTGTTGCTGTGTTCTCCTCTGCGGCTCCGAAGCTTCCCCCTCTGCCACCCGCAGTCTCCGCCCGCGAAGGGGCTTCCTAGTGTGTGGAATCCTTTCCTCCTTCACAGCTCCCTCCCACTGGTGCAGGTACCATCCCTATTGTTTTGTCTCTGTATTCTTTTTTCTTTTGCCCTGCCCAGGTACGTGGGGAGTTTCTTGCCTTTTGGGAGGTCTGAGGTCTTCTGCCAGTGTTCAGTAGGTGTTCTGTAGGAGCTGTTCCACGTGTAGATGTATTTCTGATGTATCTGTGGGGAGGAAGGTGATCTCTGCGTCTTACTCTTCCGCCATCTTGAAGCTCCTCCGTAGCTTCCTTTTTTAATTGAAGTATAGTTGATTTACAATGTTGTGTTAATTTCTGCTGTACAGCAAAATGATTCAGTTATACATTTATATAGACATTTTTTTTTAATATTTTTTTCTATTCTGGTTTATCATAGGATATTGACTATAGTTCTCTGTGCGCTACAGCAGGACCTTGTTGTTTATCCATTCTCTGTATAAGAGTTTAACTAACTATGGCAGCTTCCCTGCTCCGTAGACTCCAAGCATAGTCTCTCTGTCACAGAATGAATTCTAAACACCGTACTTTGCTACATGATCTGCTTCCTAGTGTCTAAGATTATTTCAGACCCCCCTCTCAAGTTCTATGTCCAAATGCCTGCCTTATAGAGCATACTGAGCCATTACATATTCTCTCTACTGTTAGAGACAACGTCATACACTAGGCCCTGCCTTTGGGCCTCTCCCTAGATGAGAACATTCCTTTGCAGCCCCCAAGTCCCGTGAATGTCCACCACCTCCTGGGAAAGGACTTCGCCACCTAATGCTCAATCCGCCTTCTCTTCCTCTGGCCACGCCTTATCCCATCATGTGTTATTCTTGTTCACGGGTCATCGTTGGTTTCCATGGGGATGTGTTTAATCATGATCCGTTTCCTTTCGAATATGATCTCCACGAGAGCCGTGGCTCCCACTGCATCTGAGCAGTTAGCAAAGATCCTTTTGTGGAGAAGGATAAATATCATATGATATCACTTGTATGTGGAATATAAATAAATGATGCAAACGAGCGTACGTACAAAGCAGAAACAGACTCACAGACTTTGAAAACAAACTTATGGTTACCAAAGGGAAAGCATGGGGGGAGGGACAAATTAGTTGTTTGGGACTGACATGTACACACTGCTCTGTATAAAATAGATAACCAACAAGGACCTATTGTTTAGCGGAGGGAGCTCTACTCAGTGAACTGTAATAATGTATATGGGAAAAGAATCTGAAAAAGAATGGGTATATGTATACGTATAACTGAATCACTTTGCTGTCCACTTGAAACTAACACAACAGTGGAAATCAACTATATTCTAATGTAAAATGAAAATTAAATTTAAAAATACACCCAAGAGGAGCCCCCCTCCCCCAAAAAATCCTCTTGTGAAGGAATGAATGAAATTGCTTTAGCATTGAACGTGGAGGCCTCCCAGGAGCTCCTAACTTATTCCTTACCACTGGTATTTTATGGAGAGCATCTTCTAGCAAGCTGCATACACTTCCTGGCAGCTGCATCCCTGCTCTGACTTCGGCCATCCATCCCACTTGGCAGTACCAGCCAGGGACAATCGCTCCCTTGTCTCCTCCTGCACAAATGTCAGGTCTGGTTTGGTTGCCACAGACAGGTTTTTATTTGTGCAGCACACACAGATGGACTCATGGCCCCTCTCAAGAGACTGTGCAGAAATTATTCTTTCTGGCTAGAGACTGAAGATGCTTAAATGTGAGAAGAAACGTCCCCCAATAGCCTTAGTGATAGTTGGACTTATAGCCTGAATATGCACATTTGTCTGTGTAGTTTGT